TCAATCTTCCTCTTCAGCTCCAGATGAAGATGAGGTAGAAGAAATTCGAGACCTGCCACCTCTTAAAGAGCCTCTGCTGCAGCTCATCTCCTTGCAGAAGGCTGCTGGCTACTGGCTGCTTGATCAAGATCTGGCTGCTGTGCTGGAAAAGCCCAGCGACGAGGTGGAAAAGGCGAAGCCAGCATCGGTGGGTCACCCTCAAATATACTAGTATTTTAAAATTTAATTTCAAAGAAATATTTGATGTAAAAAATTATTAGCAGTGAAAATGAATATTCCCATTGATTGTCAGGACTTTCTTCATGATCGCGGTTGCATCTAATGGTTTTATGATTTCCCAGTAGTTAAAAAACAAGATGCAACAAAAACAAACATGCAGTCACATCTGATAACATCTTGGGGGCCAGTTGGTCTGCCGTCCGTGTTTTTGCACGGAAAGAAGAAAGCATAGTACAAAGAAAGACCCAACACATGCTTGAATGGATTATTAAAACTCAAAAAAGAAATGACAATATTTGAACAATATTGCAATATTTGAACCTGGGACTTTTTTCCCGTTTTGAAATTGAACCAAAGACCTATTCAATGTTGAGCCTGTAGTAATCACTTATTAAACATTGAAAACTTACTCAGCAATATTACTACAAAGTTCTATAGATTAGATTTAACAGTACCCACCAAACTGAAAATAGTAAAACCAAGCATATAATTTTATATCTCACTTCGTATTATTTCTGTTTTATTCTTTATACATCAATAACGAAGTGGTAATTATTAGCATGTGAACGTGATAGGATTACATAAAATACCTAAAAGAAACTAAAATCCAATATCAAACAAATCTTGAAATTAACCATTTCTGTGTGTTTGTAAATTAGGTCAAGAATGAGGTGTGGGCCTCTATTCTGGCTCTGATCTGGCTTCATGGTTTTAAGTTGGATGCAAAGGAGGAGTGGGAGCTTCTGTCTATGAAGGCTGCATCATGGATTAAAGCTCAGAACGGTAATATCAGCAGGATACTGCTGTTATTCACAGTGTGTGATTAAAAAAAATTCAAACTATGAGCAAAACTAATACCAATGAATAATTTTTCCCTTCAGCTCCATGTGTGTCAGAGTGTGTGGAAGCTGGAAATACACTGTTGGGCTGCAGCATGAAGAAAG